TCTGATACAAAATTCGAAGATAACAGTTGACAGTTAATACAATTGACAGGCCAGACATGTCTCAAATTACTGAAACTGTGTTTAATGAACTGCGTTGCCATAGTAATGTGTTGGAGAAATCGTGTTGCCATTGTAACGTGTTTAATATTTTGAATAAATCACAGATCGACAATCCGTGATTAATCGATCATTTAGCGTGGTACATATCCGTACGCTAAATGCCATTTTAGTTATGTGAGTAGAAAAATAATATTATTACCACGGGACCTTATACCCCTCGGCTGAAGCCTCGGAATATGATCTTGGTCCCTGGGTAATACTGGTATTCTTCACTACCTTGGTGTATAAATAATTACTATTCACGTTTTTCAAAAATTACTGGTGAAGGGATGTGCTAATAGTACATTATAACTGCAAATTATATGGTGAAAATCAGTTATCATCTCGGTTTCCACATACTAGAAATGTAATAAATGCACTTTTGTCCTCAGCCAATGGATTGGATAACAACATCCATTCTAGAATTTGACCAGTTTATGATCAAGAAAAAAAATTGTTTGTGTTGTTGAGAGAGTGATTTGTGATTTGGGAATCACATGAAGGATATCTTCTTTTTTGTTAATGTGCAAGTTGCACTTGACCTTTAGTTTGTGTGGTCTTTGTTGTTCTGAAGGTGAGATTGAAAAAAATGTAAGCCCTTATTGTCAAGATGTATCAAATTCTAATGATGATTTGTGTATAATTCTGCGAGATCTAGAATAGCAGGAAATGATGTGTGGTGTGGTGTGCCAGTAGTAGAGGTAAGTTGCTGGTGAATTTCAAGCGATAACATCGAGACGTTCCTGAAATATCATTCATCAAAGTTTCGCCTCGAATTCAAATAATGCCCTGTATTTCTGTTTGTAATAGGCAAAATATATTTTTTCACATATATATCAACTCACCCTGAGTTCCTCTATCTGCCATTAGGCTTTGGCTGGTTAGTCATGATTCACACTTTATAATGAGTCTATGCAGGGGCGTCCGCAGAAATAATCTCAGGGAGGGGCAAGTCACAATAAATAATGTACAATATTCACTACATATCAAAAAAACAGTTTTTGCACGACCTATAAGCGATTTTACACCAACCAAAGCGGGAATACAGGATACAGGGTATACAGAGTAAGCACTCTCTAGGCTAAAAAATTTTCCGGGATTCTTCTGGCAATAAATCTACCACTATGTTTGCAGCAGCTTCTTCAATAGTTTTTCCACACATTCCTGCAATATTTATTGAAAAAACTTTGGGAAGCAATCAAGAAAATATGCTACCACACTTTTTCGATGTTCACAAAAAGCAATATGGCTACTCTTCTTCATCGGTAGTCATAATAATCAAATAAGTTGATTTTGTGATTATTGTGTTCAGATTTTCATTTTCATATTGACTATAATTGATTTTATCATAAGATTCTTTCAATTAAAATCGTCGAGTCGTGCAAAAAATGGTATATAAATCTCGGAAGTGAGTTCTTTCTTCCCTCAGTGCACTTTAGCACCCTCTGGCTACAAAACCACCTCTGAAAAAATCAAGCACTTTACTCTCTCGATATACAGGGTGTTACATAATTCAATACAAATATTTTAATGCCATATTCCTGGGGTCAAAATAAGACTTTTTTTCCTATAAACATGTGTCCTAAAATCCACCCCCTCCAAGCTACAGACATCGCAAGATTTGTAGTCATTGAACCGTTTTCTGAGCGTGTAATGGTTGAGGAAAGTGAATCGATTGTGACATGACGTTTATGACATACCACAATGTCAGTTTGGCATAAAAGATATTAATTAATCATTAGTTACCAGAGACAAACATAATCATAGCTCACTAAGTTTTTTTAGTATAATAATTTGAAAATACACCCATTTCATTTACTAGCGATTTTCTCTAAAACGGTTAGCTAATTCAAGAAAATGCAAGAGACTGAAATGTATGTTTTTTTAGTGGCCAATTCAAAGATGATGTTAGAATTCAAGTTTTTTCGGAGGAAATAGAAAATGTTTGCCATCAAATCTGTATGCAACCCTCATTCACCCCTTTCGATTCGAGTAACCTTATTTTTGAATCAAGAAATGAATAGACCGTCTAAAAATACAAGTGCCTGTGAATTTTCAAAATATTTGATGCATAATTGTAGCCACAATTCAAAATTTAAGATTTTTTTTGCGCATCTTGCGATGTCTGTAGCTTGGAGGGGGTGGATTTTAGGACACATGTTTATAGGAAGAAAAAGTCTTATTTTGACCCCAGGAATATGTCATCAAAATATTTGTATTGAATTATGTAACACCCTGTATAATCTACTATTATTCTAATAAAAAATGGAATGAAAAAAAAATTAATTGAATTGTCACCACATATATTTATTCTGTTTACAGCCAAGATAACAATGAAAAATTGCACGTGATAATAATCTTGTTCAAACAAAAATGGCATTCTTATAGAGACTTGAGCAAATTTATCAATAACTTCGTTGATAAAATCAACTCTATATCTATCTATAAGATGTCGATGAATACTAATTAACCAAAGTCTCAGAAAGTCACTATAATAAGCGCTAATCAGAATAGGAATTGAATAATGCAAATGTATCTTGTTTATAAAGTATCTGAGTAAAGACCAGGCGCTAGGGGGAGTGCCCCCCCTTGCCTCCCCCTCCGGACGCCCCTTAGGAGACATTTCTCGTCTCATATTCATTGAAACTTTCCTTCCTATTTTTTATCGTAGAAGCCGCTGGTGAAGTTTGGCAGGCTAATTTTGGGACACCCTGTATACAGTCTGTCCAAGATAAGGTTGAACAGCATGGGGATCTCGAAAACGGTAGGAGATACGAAGTCGGTTAAATGGGGAAAAAGTTGCGCATTCGGAGGCTCATATCAAGAGCCTTCGAAAATTTTTGAAATTATTTTTAGTTTTTTAGTTATATCGAAAAAAGTGAATTTTTGGAATATCTATTTTATTTTTTTTCTCCGTTATTATTAGAGAAACAGAAAAACTAAAAATACTTTTCCATAGCAACTTTTGATGACGTTTAACGTGGTGATACCAATTTTTCTATGCGACGTTTCGTATTCGTAGAACCATCATCAACTTTTGTTTTTTAAACACGGTCTTGATAATTTTTTCACAGATTCTGAAAGGTTTTTTTGTTCTGAATTCAACCATGTATCATACAAGGTGGTTTATGTGTGTTTCGACCTATTTTCAACCATCATCAATGTTTTTTCGAAATTCCAAAGGAAAAATGCCATCAGTTCCACTTATTTTGAAGAAAAATCAGTCAACACACTAATACCTCATCAACTGGTGACAATCAACAACCCATTTCATTTTGCGGAAACAAAAATTCCATCCATACAAATTCAAAATATGTCAAGCGCTAAAACCAGGCGATGACGAAAGGCGCAGGACATTCTGTGAGTGGTATACCAGGAAATGTCAAAATTTTGCAGATTTCCCGCGAACAATCATCTGGACTGATGGAAGCATGGTCACTAATCATGGTCTCTTCGATAGAAAAAATACACATTATTGTTCACGAGAAAATGAACATTTATACATTACAGCGAGACACCAACACCGTTTCGGCTTTTATATGTGGGTTGCAATATTTGGTATACACGAATTATTGGTCCTTTAATTTACCATGAAACACAGACTTCCTTACGTTATACAAATTTGCTTGAGAATCATCTTGAGGAAGCTCTGGATGATTTACCGATTGCGGAAGTTCAGAACTGTTGGTTTCAACAAGATGGCGCTCCGGTACATAATTCCAGAGAAGTTCGTTCGTTTTTATCCATAAAAATGGATTGGTACTCATTCTGCAGTCCCTTGGCCGGCCCGGTCACCTGATTTGACACAGCTGGATTTTTTTTAGGGGATATATCAAAAACTTTGTACACGCAAATAGCTTTGATGATGAAGAAGAACTAAGGGACAGTGTCATCAAAGCATTCGATAGAATAACCCCAGAAATGCTTAGTAATGTCTTAGAAGCAACTGTGAGAAGAGGATATCTTTGTTCGGAAAAATAATGATTATCATTTTGAACATTTGTTATGAATGTTTCTGAAGGTATTGTCAAAGTTAAGTTGTTGAAGTAATTCGTGTAAGAATTCATCAACAATTTTAAGCGCTGCATTGAATGATGTAGTGAAATATTTTTTATTCACTTCTCAGAATTGAATAACTAATCCATCAATGTTTGACACTGAATGATCAGAAATAAATGGAACTGATGGCACTTTTCCTTTGGAAGTTTGAAAAAACATTGATGAAGGATAGACATAGGTCGAAACACATTCGAATCACCTTGTATAATACATGGTTGAATTAAGAATAAAAAAAACCTTTCAGAATCTGTGAAAAAATTATCAGGACCGTATTTAAAAAACAAAAGTTGATGATGGTTCTACGGATACGAAACGTCGCATAAAAAAAATCGGTATAACCACGTTAAATGTCATAAAAAGGTGCTATGAAAAAGTATTTTCGGTTTTTCTGTATCTCTAATAATAACGAAGAAAAAAAAATAGATATTCCAAAAATTCACCTTTTTCGATATAACTAAAAAACTAAAAATAATTTTAAAAATTTTCGAAGGCTTTTGAAATGAGCCTCCGAATGCGCAACTTTTCCCCCATTTAACCGACTTCGTATCTCCTACCGTTTTCGAGATCCCCATGCTGTTCAACCTTATCTTGGACAGACTGTATACATTTGAAAATCGAAAGTTAATGTCATTTCCAGGAAAACCGGAAGATAAAAAAAACTGAAATGTGAGAAATATAGTTAAAAAAACGAAGGAGAAAAAAGGGGTGTCACCTGGTAGATTGGTTGATAAGTGAATAAGGAAGTAGGAATAAGGATCAATATGTAAAAGGGATATCAAGTAGCAATTTTCGTAGTCTTCATAATGTACTGTTAATTGAAATTGTAAAATCCTCTTTTGCAGTGATGTTCGACGGAGAGACGATAGAGGGCGCGCCGCCGCTGTGGTGCGCCGCCGCCGCCGGCCACTTGGACATCGTCAAGCTGCTCGTCGCGCACGGCGCCAAAGTGAACACGACCACGCGCACCAATTCCACTCCGTTGAGGGCGGCCTGCTTCGATGGCCACCTCGACATCGTCAAGTACCTGGTGCAGCACGGGGCGGACATCGAAGTGGCCAATCGGCACGGCCACACTTGCTTGATGATCGCTTGTTACAAGGGCCACATACGCATAGCGAGGTAATAACAAAGAGGAGAGGGGAAAGAGTTTTCACTTGAAGTAATTAGGAAATAGTAAAATGTAGATGATGACCTTGAAATAACCCAAATGAATGAACTGGCACGATGGGTTACGCTCCGCTCATTGGTTGGAAGCAGGTTGAAATTGATTTTAAGAAACTGACATACGTATTGAAGGCGCGCTTACAAGTAAGCGATCCGCGTTCAACGTATCAAATCCTCATTGGTGGATAGATTGACAGCCGTCGCGTAAATGTATGTTTACCCAATCACAACACGATTCTACAAAATTATGTGAACATTGTGAATCCACATATTATTGTATTGAAATTAATAATTTATTTTGACTTACTAATGAATCAGAAACATAAGCAGGATAGAGGATATTTTGTTTTTGTGAACGATAAATCATCATTTACCTATGTGCAATGTGGAATTTTTTTTTGGAATTTTAGGTTAGGAACAGATTTCAGGATATCTTCCAAATGAACATCTTCAATTCATCTTATTTTTCCATAAGCTGATGATTCATCATTCTGCTTAGTCTTACTGAAGGAAATGGAATGGATCATTTATGAGAAATTCCTTGAAATTATTTCCTTGAGTATTCAAGGTAGGTTTGCACATATGAAATAAAAATAACCTTGATTTTGAATGAAGATTTTAATCAAATTATGAGAAATACTCAATTAAGAAATGATCAATATTTTGACTACTTCCATCACTTTCATCAGCTTCTTCAGGATATTGATTTTCTAGTCCCGGGCTTCCAATTTGGCAGATTTTATCTAATTTCATTTGTCACTATACCAGCCAATTTAATGAATTCATCCATTGATGGTTTTGAATTATGTAGGGATCATTCTGATACCTACTCAGGTATCACATTTCTGATATTGTCCCAGGAAATCGGTAGCATCATGAAATGTGAGAAAAGTATAACATAAAATTGAACATATATTCATTGTGGTACTCACAAAAGGTTCTTGAGCCCTTGAAGTCAATAAAAACTGTCCTGATCAATACATTTGATCTTTATTTGGTTTTGTTCTCCTCATGTCATTTCCATATCCAGTACTCATTTCAGATGTCCTTCAGAAAATCAGTAGAACCATGAAAAGTAAAATCAGAGAGTGTAACATGAACATTGCAAAGAACTACATAAATGCTGGTACTCACAAAAGGGTATTGAGCCCTTATTGAAGTCAACTCTGAGTCATATGATATACAGGGTGTTGCGAAATTCGACCGACAACGCTTGACAGGTGATAGGCCTCGTGATTTCATAATCACTGAGATAGGGACATACGGTCTCCAAGTGTTCAGTTATCGAGATACAGGGCGTTGAAGTTAAGAAATAAAAATAGTTGTTTCGCAATATCTCAAGAATAATTTGATATAATGCATCCAAATTCGGTATATGGTTTCATCTTTGAATGGGTCATTTTTTGACCAGAGAGCCATTCCGGACATTTTATCTAGTGGAGCCCTACAGGGGGTTGTGGTAGCTTTTCGTCCCATATTTTCTACGCCACTGATTAAATTTCGATTATTTCCAACTCCTCGAATGAATTGTTCAATTTTGTTCACAAAATGTATCACCTTCAATTGAGCTGAAATGAACAATTTTTGAGATATTCGACCCAAAATAGAAAATTGCATAGTAATATTTCATCATTTTCAGTAGTAGAAATTTGCAGAAATATTTTTCTGGTGTTGAGTAGATTAGATACTATTCAGATCTCATCCTGTAGCTGAACAGAAATAGTTATTCCACGCATAAAGAGAAAACAAACATTTTTGCAATTTTCTACAACTGAGGAAGATGAAAAATTACTATGCAAACTTCTATTTTGGGTCAAATATCTCGATAACTGTTCATTTTAGCTCAGTGAAAGGTAATGCATTTTATCAGCATAATTGAACAATCAATTCGAGAAATTGGAAATAATCGAAATTTCGTCAGTGGCGTAGAAAATATGGGAGGAAAAGTTATCACAACCCCCTGTATCGCACCTATGGATAAAATTTTCGGAATGTCTTTCTGGTCAAAAAACGAACCATTGAAAGATGAAACCATATACCGAATTTGAATGCATTATATTCAATTTTTCTTGAGATATTGCGAAAAAACTATTTTAATTTATTAACTTCAACACCCTGTATCTCGAGAACTGAACACTTGAAGACCGTATGACCCTATCTCAGTGAATATGAAATCACGAGGGCTATTACCTGTCAAGCGTTGTCGGTCGAATTTCGCAACACCCTGTATACATTTCCCAGTCATATGATATATGCATTTCAAATTCATTCTTACTCTTGCAGTCTTTGACTGCATATTATATTCCTCCAGGTCTCCCCATTGCCAAGTTTATCTACAAAAATATATCATTTTTACCTCAGCAATCCTAGGCACTAGAAAAAATCAAATATTCTTACACTCATACCACAAGTTTTTGAGGTTATGTAAAATGATAAAAAGAAACGAAAATTAATGATAATTCCACTGAAACTGAAAAACACAATCTATAAAAATAATGAACGCTTTTGTGCAGATTAAATCCACTTTTACCATTGTTGAAAAATTTGACAAATCTCTGAGAAGAAATTAGTTGACAAACAGTAAACATTCTATTCAAACTATTCTTTGGTAATAATATGTCCAAAGATAGCTGGCGTATCGTCAATTTCGAATACAGTGAGAAATCGAATAGAAACGAAATTAGGGTCCCTTGATGCAAACTGACGTATTTGTCATCTAACAGGGTACGGACAGATCATAGCTCCTTTCTCTTTTGATCATCTAGTGACTTTGGTTTCGTGTATTGGCGTCCCTGACATGACATAGCCGTTAAAAGAGATCTTACAAAATTGTAATTTCATACTCAATACGATATTATTCAATTCTGTTTTGGAAGGATAGTAAAATGTGCTGTTTTAGGATGTATCAATCAGTTGGATGGCAAATTTGAATTTGTGAGCTTTCCATCAAATGCAAATGAACTTAGAACATGGAAAGTGAAGTAACCGAATGGGGAAAATTGGTAAATCCATCAGCAAAATATTCGAGGTAAAACTGATACGAAATCACATATTATTCGTTCTCATTGTGCCTATAATTATCCACTCCACAAGTTTTTGAATGCACTTTAGTAGAAACAGTTTTGATTAAAACGGAGGATTGAAAGAAGAGGCATATGCCCTACCATTTGAAAAAGTATACCTACATTCAGGAATATTGAGTGTTCATGAAAAACTGCAAAAATGATACCCAACATGAATATATACAGCACACATGACATATGAACACATTAGTTTGAATACCTACATACAATTTTTCACCATTTCTCAACCATAAGACAGATACTGCCTGAGAACAGTCCCATTTGGTAAAACGTATTAAACTTTCAGAAAAATTTGCTCACTCGAAAATTATCATCATTATTTGGATATAATATGTAGAGTTGAATGAGAAATTACATGTGGAAATTACGTATGATACGCCAATGTCCTCAATATAACCTAAAAAACAACAAATGTCAGAAAGCTATTGCTTATCCCCAGAAATGAAAAGATGGAACTATATAACTGTTTCACAAACACTTTAGAGTGAGATGAGACGAGGATCTGTCCGTTCCCTGTTGAGATGACAAATGCGTCAATTTACATCAAGGGACCCAAAAACGAAATAACAGGTTTCAGTCCTGGCGACTTCAACATATTTCTCAGTACAATTGCTGAAAATATTATCAAAACTTCACCGAATGTCACTCTTACTATTTCTGATCTGTTAAAATAATTGTCATCCCCACAGTTTAGCTTTTGGGTATATGATAAATTGACATTCATCATACAGGGCGTGGAAAGAAATTCTGAATTGAGACTCTATCACGAATCTGCGATTAGAGGTCTATAAAAATCACAAGTTTCCATCGTTCAAGTTTGAACCCCCTGATTGGGTATGAAAGTGTTGAAAAGGAATATTCTCAGATAAATTATGAACATACAAAAATGGATATATATTTATATAAAGCAATACATTGAAAATTCGCATTTTCTATGTGATGAGAATATCAACTCTTCTTCAGTTTATTCAATAGAAAACAACTACTTTCCTGGCTATAAGCCACAACGAACATTGAATCATATCTATTGAACACACACGATAATAGTTTGAAAATAAAATATAAAATCTTCTGAAATTGAGAATTTGCATTCTCCTTCAGACAAAAATATGTATATGCACACATCATTCTGAATTTTCAACAGAAAACAACTACTTTCCTGGCTGTTTGCCACGTCGAACATTGAATTATATCTGATGAACATCCGAAAGGAATTGAAAAATAAAAAATAAAATCCTCCGGAATTGAGAATTGACATTCTATCTCAAATCGGATGAATAATATGATGTATAATGATATAGAAATATAACTTACCAATATATTCAGCATTGAAATGAAAATTGTAATGTATAGGAGAAGTATACTGGCATAAAGTCTGATCTTAATGAGCTCAAGACATGGTGCGTAACTACGTACGGAAAAAGGCGCCACTGGAATACTGCAAGGATAGTTCTCAGTTACACTTGCCCCATGGAGAAAGCTATCAACATCGAGCTCATGAAATACCTGGAACATTCAGGTATTATTAACGATAGGCAATATGGTTTCCGTCATTAGAGATGGCAGCAATATATTGAAAAATATGGTGAAACCTTAGCCGTGGCATTTGATATCTCCAAGGCATTCGATCGAGTCTGGCACCACGGACTCCTCGCCAAGCTTCCATCTTATGGCTTGCCTCCCCAGCTATGTTCTCTGCTAGCTAGTTTTCTCTCGAACGGGTCTCTCCATGTAGTGGCCGACGGAGTTTCATCTGACTCTCTTTTCATAAATGCTGGTGTTCCGCAAGGATCAATTCTAGCACCAACACTATTTCTACTCCATTTCAACGATTTGTTGGAAGCAACTTCATGTCCAGTACACAGCTTCGCGGATGATAGATCCCTCCATACCGCCTTCTCTTCCAGAGCTCCAATACCAGCCAGGCAAATCAGAAACGAACGAGGAAAAATGTTGACAACATAAATATGTTCAACAATTCTCGAATGGGGATCCAATAACTTGGTAGATTTCAATGCAAACAAAACACATGTATGCCTTTTCTCTAGAAAAGCCGATCTCACTGTGCCCAACATGAGCTTGTCAGAAGTAACCATACCTTTGAAGACATCCATTTCGATGCTTGGTATTACTATCAGCAATAACCTTTCTTGGGAAAATCACGTGCGATCAATTGCTAAAAGTGCATCCCAAAAACTTGGTTTTCTGTTTAGTGCCAGGAGCAATTTCACTTCCAGTCAGCTGCTTATGATCTATAAGGCACAGATCCGACCTGTCCTAGAATACTATTCCCATATTTGGAGTGCACCCAAACATACCCTGAAACTGTTGGATTCTGTCTAAAAAAGGGCAATTCGTCTCGTGGGTGATGCCTCGCTCACAATCTCACTTCTCTGGAACACCGGAGAAAAGTTGGCGATCTGGTTCTATTTTATAGATATTTTCATGGACGATGCTTTTCTGAAATATCAACAATTGTTCCTCCCTTGGCAGTCCTCGCGAGATTAACCCGTCGTGTTGAGGCTTCGCACCTCTTCGTGTTCACATTGGAGACCCTTTTCGTGGGAACCAGAACATAAAAAAAAATGTTATGAACTCTTAGCTGACACTGTATCGATGTGCAATATCTATGTAATATTTATGTAATATCTTTGTTATAGGTATCTTCTCGGTTTGACGGCGAGCGTCAACAGGAAGAGCGTCAAGGGGAATACGGCGTTGCACGATTGCGCCGAATCCGGTAGTTTGGAGATCTTGAAGTTGTTGATCGAGCATGGTGCTACGATGGATGTAGATTCCTATGGTAGGTTCTGATGGTGAATGAACTACTCGTAAAATTGATTGTAATTACGAAAATTTGTGAAACTTACGATAAGTGCGAAATCTGGTATCGTATTTTTTTCATTGACGAGTGGGTGTATACACTATGTCCATAAACTAACCCTCTCCCATAGTTGCTGCAATGATGGAAATAGTAGATGGTGTACTTACTCATGCGCTTTTGTTTCAGAAATTCTTCTCAACCTCTCGAGAACAATAGTTTCGACGATTTTTCAATAGACGGCGACATTGCACAATCATGACATCTGTCAATTTTGAAATTGTCGCAGATATTTCGAATTTCGAGTGAAATAAACCCATATACATACATATGTTCCGCGTACCTAAATGTCATTTTATTTTCACTCTTCACACTCGTCACAGCATCGTCACCATCTATCGGAAAAAAGTAGATTTAACGTTCCGCTCGATGTGACGTAGAGAAATCATAGTAAGCGGTTGAGTTATTTTTCGTGAGTTTTCAATAGGTAAAAATGGCCGAGTACGCGCGCGATCTACTTATTTATTTCCATCATTGTTGCTGTGAAGAATTTTCCATTATTTTTACTCCAATGGTTCATCATTATACTTTCAATAATTTGATATTTTCCGGGGTAATTGCCACTTTTCAGTGATTTAAGGGCATGCATGTGCACCTTTATGAAATATAAAACCAACTCTTACAATTATTTTATAAAAAATCAGACTTTTTACAAAAAAAAAAACAAATTTCACATAAACAATCATGTAGCATTTGCCTTTGTTTGCTCTGTTATTGTCTACTTCATTTGAATTTCCACTTGTTTCACTTCCATAACTTTGAACTAATTATCAGCTGGTGATGGACTATATATATGCCTGAAACGTGTACCTTTAATGATCTTCGATCATTTCAATAAAAGTTGTGGGGATGACTTTGGGTCTTTTATATATGAACCTGTATAGTACAGCAGCATGATTAATAGTTGTTGGATACAGACATTCTTAAAACAAAATATTGTTAATAATAGAGTATCACCAGCACTACTATTGTAAAAATTGTTATTATAATTCTTTGTTTGTTTCAGGAATGACTCCATTACTAGCAGCGGCAGTGACAGGACATAACCATATAGTAGAATATTTAATTAAGATTCCACATCTCGTATCGAGAAGGGAACGAATCGATGCTTTAGAATTATTAGGTGCGACTTGTGTAGATAAAAAACGTGATATGATCGGTGCTTTAGATTTATGGAAACGAGCTATGCAGGATAGGTGAGTTAACTACACCCAATAAAGAATTGAGAATAGAGTAGATTTTTCAGTAGATACATCAACATTGATTTAATATTAATATATTTCTTTATATAAAATAACACTGGAAAACTTGATATTGTTGTATGTAATGTTTTCATACTCCTTCCCCGAAGGAGAACATTCCAGAAATTTGTTTACTTGCTATGATAACGATACAAAAACTGTTAGGTGTGAAATTTTCACTTATAATATTACGAGAGCTTCAATTATTTCCGGAAATTTTTTCGAGAACGCGGGAGAATTTTCTAAATATTGTTCGAGAAAAAAATCCCGGATATTAATTGAAGCTAAAGTGGTATTCGGTAAGAAAAGTTCACACTGAAACATTATATTGCAAGTATACCAACATAATATTATATGGTAAACTGTTGATAAATGATTTTTATTTATTGACTTATAGAATTAACTCGAAATAATCTGAAGTTGAATGTAAATGTCTCGGTAAATGTCATTTAACTTATAAACGTCAAAAAATTTCCAGTGTAATTTCATGCTCCGTCCTCCAAGGAGGAGGAAAAAATTTCCAAAAAATTTGTTTAGTTGCTATAATAAAGAAACGAAATTCAGGCTTTAAATTGATCCAAAATGTTTGGTGTGTAATGTTCATCATAAAGTTCCTTTCGACTTCAGATACCACGGCGACGGCCCCCCCATCCCGAAACAGCGCACGCGCAAAGTGCCCGCCTACGACTACGCCGTGGAGATCGCCGAGCCCGACCGCCTCGACGATCTGCTCGCCGACCCCGACGAGATGCGCATGCAGGCGTTGGTGATGCGCGAGCGCATACTCGGCCCCGCCCACCCCGACACCAGCTACTACGTGCGGTACAGGGGGGCGGTGTACGCGGACGCGGGCAAGTTCAACAGGTGGGTGTGTGTTGGTGTTGTGTGATCGACGTTTTAGGGTGAAGACACACGGAGCGGTTTTCGCCGACTCGGCAGCCGAATGCATGAAGACACACAAGTCGTTGATAATGCGACACGCAAAACGAAAACAATGTGGTGTTGTCAGTTCCTGTTCAAATTCGCAATAAATCATTCCAGAATTACGTCATTTGACAGGTTGCTGAGGGGCAAACATTGTATTTTGTCAAGATATGTCATATAAAACCAGAATAAGTGGGATCGTTTCCCTTGGAATCCGAGTTGGAACTAGAAAGAATTCCATAATTGTGTTTGGTGAAACTGTTATTATATTGTAGATGTGGCAGGGATGGCCAGGGCTATGCTCATCAAAGGTAACCTCTAACAGATAGTTGGTGTGCCCCTCAAGAAACCATGTCAAAATCACGTGTTCTAGAATGATCAATAGCGTCTGAACGTTATGAAGTGTGATTCTGAGGAGGAATTCTTAACATTAGTGGGACTAATTTAATGTCGTTCGAAGAAAAAAAGAAACAGTCGTATAAGAGTACCCCCATTTGTCAAGGAATGAACTGAGAAAAGTTTGTTTCATACTTTATTTAATGATGATTTTGTACGAATGTCGAAAGATTCGTTTTATGAACTTCTGACTCTGATGAAGAATCAAATAATCGGCACACGAGCTGTCGTGTCTTTATGAAATGAAACAAACGCAACATTGGGCAGCGCTGCTGCCGCACGTACGGTCGTCTGGATGATATGCCGAACGCGTTTTTATTACTTTGAGCGGCTACTCAGACCGTTCTGTCAAGTACGATTGAACACACGAGGAGAAGGTTTTCGAGCGGTGCAATACAAACATTGTTGTCAAGTTGACTGATCCATGATGGCTCTCATTGATTGTGAAAAATTAATTCGTTGTAAAATACCTCATACACAAACGTAAACTTTCACAGTGGTTCCACAAATAAGAAAAAAAGAAAAATCACATTAGTTGAAGCAAAATTGATCACAACACTCGACAGAAACTTAGCTAGTTTCGAAAAAAAAAAAGAAGAATAGAAAACAGAAACTGTCGGTGAGAATGGAAATAATGTAATCCATTATTAAATATATTATCCAACCCTAAGTCGCAGTATGTGTTCCAAACATGCAATACCAATATACACCTCAATAACAACATGTACAGGGTGATTCACCATAAATGCCCCCCCCCCTAGCTCACTTATTTTTGAACCGATTTAAAAATTTGAAAAATGATCTAAAATGATTTTTCAGAACTTTTTCTCAAGTTGCATCAGAAAATACAGGGTGCTCGGTACAAACGATTTTTCAAATGTAACACCCTGTATTTCATTGTATTTTCAGATTCTTCCTGAAGAGCTGATTTCATCAATGTATCACACTTGGGTTCTAGCGGGAATGATTACAAAGATATAGGGTGTTCAAAATCGAGATTTTTCAATTTTAGGATTTTTTTGTGTCGAAACTATTCATTATTGGTCAAAACGGCTTTTATGTCCCTATCTCAACTTTTAATTTACTATCTACTGACATTTAATTGAAACATTTACAGGGTGGTTCAAGATTCAGAATTCTGATCACCCTGTATCTGTTCCAATTATTAAATGTCAGTAGATAGTAAATCAAAAGTTGAAATACGCACATGAAAGCCGTTTTGATCGATAATGAATAGTTTCGTCACAAAAAAATCCTAAAGTTGAAAAATCTCGATTTTGAACACCCTATATCTCTGTCATCATTCCCGTTAGACCCCAAGTGTGATGCATTGATCAAATCAGCTCTTCAGGGAGAATCTAAAAATACAATGAAAAATAGGGTGTTCCATTTGAAAATATCAAATAGTACCCTGTAGATCGTTTGTTCCGAGAGTCAGAAGTTCATAAAACGAATCTTTTGAAATTCATACAAAATTTAACAATTTTTCGTCATCTCTTTTGATCGCATCATTAAATAAAGTATGAAACAAACTTTTCTCAGTTCGTTCCTTGACAATTGGGGGTACTCTCATACGACTGTTTCTTTTTTTCTTCGAACGACATCAAATTAGTCCCACTAATGTTAAGAATTCCTCCTCAGAATCAGACTTCATACCGTTCAGACGCTATTGCGAATTTGAACAGGAACTGACAACACCACATTGTTTTCGTTTTGCGTGTCGCATTAGCATCGACCCGTGTGTCTTCATGCATTCCGCTGCCGAGTCGGCGAAAACCGCTCCGTGTGTCTTCACCCTTAGGCGACGTCAACGTGTCCTACTAGCAGGATCTCTTTCGTTTTTGATTATATCTTGTTCGGTAATAAAGTGCCAAAAATTCTAAGAATGATGGTTAATATTTATTCGAGTTGCCCAAAGAAGAGACGACGTGTTCGTTGAAGTTTCAAGTTCCAATATTCATTTCATAGATATACATTAATTGACATAAAATTGATATAACTACACAATGAGCCTTACGTGCCTTTGGTATTACACCAATGTTAGAGTTTCAAATAATAATATATCTGCACTTGATCAATGAAGGGGTACAGAAAAATTACATTTCATCTCTTATAAAACATATTTGTGTCTCATGTCATTTGTTCAGCTGTTTAACGTCATGAGTTGAGTGTGTCCACACTCTTCATCAAAGAGCTTGAATGATATGTTCGAGGCACTCTACATTAATGTGCCATAAAAATGCCAAATCAATAATGAAAATTGACGGGTCCAAGCGTTTCTTTCGAAAAACTAACATCTCAATTTCCGGCTACGGCATAGGAAAATATCTTCTGGTACCTTGATACATATCACTACTAGAGTCACTGGATAGTATTAGTAGATAAGAGTTCGGACTCAGCTGAACTTCTGTCCTTTTCTATTTTCTATATTACAATGGTTTGAGTGAATAAATGAATGACATTTATATTCTGCTCTGTGTCTTTTCAATTTCCCTAATATTGAAACACAACCTCATTCTTCTGTGAATTATTGAAACACAACCTCACTTTTTTATTTGGTTACAGAGGAATCAAAAGGTTGAAATAGTTTTTCACAATATTTTGGCATACGAATCGTGTTTCTTGCGTTATTCATTAATTCAAGCATGCCTTCGCATTGTGCTGTTGTACGATGCACAAAAAATGCAGCAAGAGACTAAGGAATATGATTTTTCAGGTAAATAGTAATGTCACATAGTTAGCATTATGAAATGTTGTCATTCCTTATCAAAAATTCCTTCTGCCTTCTGCAATACAAGCTAATGCTGCTAATAGATTGAAAATGTCTACAACACACACGATCGTCAGCATGTCAGACCAGTCCTACCGATTGATTGCATGAATCCAATCTTCTTGCATTATTCTAAAAATTTCAGGTATATTTCTATTAGCTGATCCTATTGCAGAAGGAATTCCGATGAGAAATCAGAGAAATAACCAAATTTCAAAAATAAAAACTATGTGAGTGACTATAGTAGGTACTTACTTTTGAATCATAATGTACCATCCGGATGTCTTCATCTTCCGCTGCAGTTTTTGTGCATTTTACAACAGCACAATGTGATGGCATTAGCGAATTGATGAATAGCGGAAAAATACGATTTATATGCCAAAATAATTGTGGAAAACTATTTCGATCACTTGTAAACAAATATGTTTTGCCTCCAGGGTCGGTCATCTGACAGTTCTTGCACGCGACCTATAGCGCCTGATTGTCAGATACGATTTTAGAGGTTAGATTTCCTGTCAAATATAGCCGTAAACAGAAAATAGAAATAGGGTATAAAAATGAAGAGAATGCATTTAACAACATTTTAATGACAGAATAGACATGAATATACTTATAGCTAGATTTCCACAAAATTCTCAAACACACGACATGTTTCGCTAACACAGTAGCTTCATCAGGTGATATACTGGTACAATGAACTTTGTTGTGTGTGTGAAACATGTCGTGTGTTTGAGAATTTTGTGGAAATCTTATCGTTTGTGAAGTTTTTACATTTGCCATGGATTGCCATCAAGTAACGGCCGAGTCAATTCAAAATTTAAAAAAAAGGTATGTGTTACTTAATGAATCTGAACATTGAAAAACACTAATAGTTGTCATTTCTGTGTCCGAACTCTTATCTAACTAATATCATCTAGTGACTCTAATCACAACTATATTTTCCAGGTGTATCGAGCTCTGGAACTACGCCTTGGACATGCAACAGTGCATGTTGGGCAGACTGAACCCGATGACGCAGAGCAGCCTGTTCAGCTTCACGGAGCTGTTCTCCTTCATGATGGGCGAGGAGGGTAAACAGACGTCGCGGGGAAGGGTGGTGCCCTCTGTGGAGGTGACAGACATCCTGACTGTGTTCAATAAGGCCGTCGAAGAGGTGGAGCAAGGTGAGTGGTTTCCGTGTTTGCTCTCTATGGAAATGATTTAATAGCCATTTACCTAATGTTGCGTACCCTGAAGGGGTAATTCGATAGCTCGAGTGGTTGGATATTATGTTTTGTATACCGCAGGGCGGCAACTAACCAATTCACTAAAAGCAAAAAATGGCGGCGATAAAATGCGTGCAGAGACAGAAACCACTTACTTGAAGATCTCTGGAAGAGCTAGCTCTTGTTCTGGAACTGGTGGTCTCCGGCTGAAGTGGTGGAAAACAGCGAAAAGTCGGAAGCGAAGCTGTTGAGTGAAGCGCACTAAACAATCCCGATGCGTGGGCGACGAAAAAATACCCATTAAAAATCGAAAACTTATCACTAGTATGGATAGTCTTAGAATGCTGATAAGGTCACGCATGTCCAAACGTAGGTCTCTTGCAATTACGCGATATTGCCAAATTTATTGAGAATAATTCACAAAATATATATTTGGTATACCAAGACCGAACACCTAACAAGTGCGGAAAGTAGTACTTTTCCGCAAGGGTTAGGTACAATGTTTCTTCCACCACTAGCTATGAGACATATCATTATTTACTCCTTTTCGAGGTGGGAAGTGTGTCTTTCCTACCAAGGTAGTTTTCGTCATTTTATGGACCACTAGTCAATAAAGACATAGCCACTATTATTAATGAGTTGATTTTTTCCCAAAATATAACAATTTGTCAACATTGCCGGAAAAGAAATATTCAGAAGGAGAGAAAAAATGTATAGTGTACTTTAATTTTGGACTCACGTCAACGTACCTTGCAAATTTCTTACCTTAGAAAAAATCGGCAAGAGGATCCAGAGAGGTCTGGGAGGCTGAATTTGAACCAGCCGGCCACTTGGAAACCTCCTTTTTGGTCGTTTACCCACTACACTTTTCGTATAAAATGTTTCAAATTTACACGAATTTCTATATTAAGTAAATTAATGCACTTTCCTTTTAACGTCTAACGTGACGGTTTTCAACTTTTCTTTTTTATTGTTGAAAAAAAATTGATTTCTCACAGCGACTCGCGCACTGCCGAGAGAGATGTCTAGTTGAGTGTCTTTTTATGCGCAACAGGTGTATTTTGTTCTCTTCCTGTCCGCTAGGCGCGATTGAAATCGGAATGGCTTGATCGCGATAAGATAATACCCGGTGTGCAAAATAAATAATAATTTTGGATCAATGACAATAAAAAATTATGAATGATTGAATTCTTGTTAACAACACATAAATCCTAAAAAGTGATTAATAGTAAAAACATACACGATTGCATGTGGATGCAACATACCGCCCACCTGAAATACCAAAGTATTTTAGGAATCAAGGGGTAGAGGACATAGTCTGGAAACGGGTCGGCTGAGAATGTGCGTAGCTGTTTTGACAGAAGCAACCCGAATATGTCCGTCCGTACCAGGAAATACCTCATGAATGCGACCCAATTGCCATTTCAAGGGTGGTGCATTCTCTGATTCAATCAATACTAAAACACTCTAATTGGTGAGAGAGTGTCACTTCTCATTCTGATTTAGAGTATGTAAATATTCATGTCACCACCGGTCTCAGAAATTTTGGTGCATACGGACCAGGAGTTGTCATCTGGAGAGCCTATTAATAGGTAAATCATGTAAGTCAGGTCTGGGAGGTGCAGTCAGCGGCTCCAGTGTTGGTGTCTTGTTTTTTTTATTATTAGAATTGTTTACCAGATTGTTTCAGCTCTCTCAGACACCTCTGGGGGGGGGGGTCAATGTAGTGTAATGTTGTTTCTTGTGACGTAGGTAGCTTGACGTTGGAACGTTTGTCGAACGTCGAACGCGACATGAACTACCTCACCCGCGTCATGGTGATCACGCTGCACCTTGCCTGCCTCCTCACCAGACTATTGGATCACCACACCAGCACCGAGGAGATCACGAAAGAGATACACGGCGCCATCTACAAGTTGGTGAAGCTGAAGATCAGGGCGAAGTCGGGCAGGACGATGCTGCATTTGGCGTGCTGCAAGGACGTCGCCATTTTGGGGCGGTATCCTGCCTGTCAGTTTCCTTCTCCACATCTGGCAGAGGTATTTATCGTTTTTATTTATCTTCGATTATCGGTATTCTCTATTGAAGTATCATAAATGGTGCATTCCAGTTAAAACACAATAAAAATACTAGGGGGGGGACATATTTTGCCATAGCACACCATATATATTTCCACCATGGTTTTAATGTTTTGTTCTTGTTTCTTATACCTATCATAGGTAACATTTTTTAATTTAATAATTAATATCATTTCTGTTTTTGAACATGTAAGTTGATGAACAATAAATATTAATCTGATTTATATCCATCTTTTGGCATTCTTTGTAGAAGGTCAGTTGGAAATAAATAATCTATTCCATAAATAATTTTCAAAATCCATTTTTTAATAACTTCCAATTTTTTCAAATATGTTTGCTTTACTCCTCCTCATCCTAAAATCCCATAAACTAGGAATGCTTAATACATATTTCAAATGTTCGAATTTAGGAACAAGACATCTAATTTTTTTCGAAACATAATCTACATGATTATCCCACCTCAGATTATTATCAATCATTATGCCCAGGTATTTTATACAATCAGTTTTATGAATGTTGATTTTACTACCGATTTCAATAATACCTAAATTTGGCTGAAATTTTGATAGAAACCGACGTTGCCACAGTTCATAGGTAGCAAAATTTCAAAAAAACTTTAAAATCCGTAACGAAGTGATGGAGAAAATACACTGACCGGCAAAAAATACTGGCCACCCTGAAATAATTCATAAAGTTCTCCTATACTGTACACCGCCTTGGATCCAGTACTGGGCCAACGAGGGAATGCAAGAAAAATTTAACAATAGTATAGCAGTTATAATTTTCATTAAATAAGGGTGGCCGGTGAATGTATAAAAAAAGAATCAATAGTTTGCGATACCATTAATAGCGAAAAGTAGCCGGGTACATAAGTTGAAAACGGTTAAAAGTATCTGAATTGAAAAAAAGAATACCAAAATCAACAACTAGTGATAAGCAACTGCTAGTCTCCACTACAGAAAGAAACTTCCGATGGCCAACATGTAGGAAGCTCAACAGAAATACTAGACACAGACAGTTAGTAGATTGGATAATGTTTTTGATTTAGAGCAGGGATGCACATACTTATAGGGAACAGGGACTCGGTAAGCTAAATACGGGCCAATATACAAAAAAAAACACCATTATTTGTAAATGGTAGATATGAATTACTACAAATGATAAAAATGATAGAATATTCAAAAATGTTTAGTGTTTATATTTTATTGTCATGTAATTTTTATGTTATTGTAATGTAATTTGATTATCACAATGTTCTAATTCATGTTTCATTATTTTGATTTTGATGCATGACATTGAATTGTCCTAATAATTTTGTTTGTTTGGATCCACATTACTACATTACTTGCCGCCACACGTAAAATTGCTTCCAGATTTTCATTTGACAGACGGTTTAGATTTTTTGTTTTGTTGAGATTCATCACTGAAAACGTTTGCTCACAAATATGCATTTATTTGTAACTCTTTAGAAGCGGATTTGACAACGCAACGGTAAAATATGAGTAAATTACCTCCATTAAACTTGTTTCGTAAATTATCATCATTTTGCAATTCAATTGATTCCTGCTGTTTTGATTCCGGTGCATATTCAGGTGAAATGTTGAAAGGATTGCTCAAAATGTCCAACAAAGGTTTAACTTGTTAATATCAATCGCTTTAACATAAGCAAATTGACATGATTTGTGTCCTGAAAAGATTTTTCATTGAAAGGACGAAACATGAGAGTATAACCAAAGGTATAACTGCGAAATCAATTTATCTTTGTCTTCATTCAAGGAGGAGGAGGATACCTGCGTAGTAAACAAGAAAGTGTTGAGTAGGTAGGTACCTAAAGATACATATATTATCTTACTAACGAATACAAGTTAGATAATGAAAAGAAAAATTGATTTGAATAGATTTTTACTTACTTTCGTAGTTTTTCGAACAGTTTTCGAAATTCGTTGGCGGGCCGCGGTTTGTGCATTCCTGATTTAGAGCAATGTCTAGTAGTCTAGTGAGCCGTGATAATGAGACTAGTAGGGATTAGATCGAATTGGTATTTGGTAATGGGAAATCTGGCAGAATTATAATCCAGTATTCCTAAATCAATGATCAGTGAATCAATTAACTTTTATTACCAGAATCATTCTGATCGGTCTATACAAACTGCATGTACAAACGTTCAAGCTTTATTTCCTCCCCTTTGCCCACAGGTGCTGCTACGAGTGGGCGCCGACCCGAACCTGCCCGACGACGACGGCAACACCGCGCTGCACCTGGCGGCGCACGCACGCCCCTGCCCCGCCGCCGTTGCGCAGGCGCTGCTCGACGGCGGCGCGCACCTCGACCTCGTCAACGCCGACGGCGCCACCTTCGCCGACCTGCTCAAGGGCCAGAAGGCGCACGAGCTGGTCAACTCTGCGAAGTACACGGGGCTGAGCTGTGCGGCTGCGCGGGTGATACGCCAGTTCAAGATACCGTACAAGGGCGTCGTGCCCAAGAAGTTGGAGTCGTTCATTGCGTGCCACTGATTCTTTTTCCCTTCACCCTCGTTTGCCTGTTGCTGAGAAACCGTCGATGTGTCTTTGGGGCATGGTCTAATGGTGAATGCTAAATGACATAATATTCGCGGCGCGGGTAATTCGCCAGTCCAAAATACCGTACAAGGGGGTCGTGCCCAAAAAGTTTGAGTCGTTCATTGCGTGCCACTGATTCTTTTTCCCTTCACCCTCGTTTGCCTGTTGCTGAGAAACCGTCGATGTGTCTTGGGGCATGGTCTAATGGTGAATACTAAATGACATCGCCAGTTCAAGATACCGTACAAGGACGTCGTGCACAAGAAGTTGGAGTCGTTCATTGCGTGACACTGATTTTTTTTCTGTTTACCCTCGTTTGCCTGTTGCTGAGAAACCGTCGATGTGTCTTTAGGGCATGGTCTAATGGTGAATACTAAATGACATACTAATCGCGGCGCGGGTGATTCGCCAGGTCAAGATACCGTACAAGGGCGTCGTGCCGAAGAATTTGGAGTCGTTCATTGCGTGCCACTGATTCTTTTTCCCTTTACCCTCGTTTGCCTGTGGCTGAAAAATCGACGATGTGTCATCATCTAGATTTTATAAATGTATGATTGAGGTGAAATAGTCATACATTGACACCACTCACAATCATTAAGCTATCTCAGGGAAAATTTTAACATGTGGAATATGAACTGCCATTCGAAGTTATAACAAAACTTGACTTGACACCACTTTGAATCATCGTAGGTATTTAAATAATAAATCGATGTATGAACTGTTATTCGAAGTTGATTCAGCTTATCTACTTAGCAAGTATTTTGTTTCGTTTTACTCAGGTGGAAGGTCGGCATTGACACCCATTGAACAATATCTCTAGATGAAAATTTTAATTATTTATGGTGTAACATTGGCATCTCATGAATGTGAATTTCGACAATGAATGAATTTGTGTGATTTGAGGATTGTCATAAAGGACCCATGGCCGCAAGTATCGATACCCGACGGAGACAGCATTTGGCAGTTAAATTTGCGTGTCCTGCTTTTCAGTTGTATGAATTCGGTTGCTCTATGAGGGACTGAATTTGAGATCGCAGCGCCAAAGTGGCAGGTTGTGGAACTATATGATCGTACATTGTTTTGAAAGAGCTCATTTGCTTGTGTGTATTATTTCGATTTTTGTGATTTGAGGGAGCTTTTCAGCAGATATTCGTTCAATAAGGTATGTTTCACTACTTAAAATACATGAGATTTGCAAAATAAAAATGCCCCAAATTGAGGTTACATTTCAGTTTGCATTTCATTTCCATTCAGTAGTAAAATAAATATTGCGAATTAAGTGAAGTGAATATGATGTTCACAAAGCAGGTATTTCAGATATATGTATTGTAGTCGATTCATCTACTTACATGTTATGAAAGTGAAAAAGTCCTCAAAGCTGGATGTATCTGCGAATAATTGATATACCCAGTAGGACAAATCGATATGTGCTTTGTTTTTGAGTGAGGATTTCATTTTTTTAAATTCCTACTGTAACTTTTCACTTCTGCAACTGAATTCAATCTCGAGGTTGAGAGAAAATCTAACAATTATATTTTGTAAACATTCAATGTACTTTCCATTAGTTCCTTTAATATCTGCAAGAGGGCGTATCGCTTATTTTGAATCGTCTATTGAATCATTTTTATGGAAACAATATTTTGAACATATAGAGGAACTTATTTAAAACAAACAAACAATTCAGCAAACCAGATTTATACTCAGAAAGAAATATAATCGGATTGAGAAATTTTCGCAAATATTGCAGAATGGTTCAAGAGCTCTAGAGGTCTTGGGATAGCATCTCGCCGCATGTCGTTTTTCTTTTTTTCTTTCCTCATCTTTAAAATTAGTAGTTTGTGTACTTTTTCAATATTATTATATCTCTCCGTTATGTTCATAATGATGGAAAAATAAAAATGTGGATAAATCTCATTTCAAACCTCTTAGAACACTCATATTATTTTTATCAGAATAAAGATTGTACCTGACTGACTAATAACGGACAAGCGTGAATCAGGCACAAGTGAATATAGTATGTTGTTTAGCATTCCCTGTTCAACTATACCAAATAGGCAAATTGACGTTTGCTTAGTGATAAGCCCCTTGTTCTGTTTGTGATTAATTAGTGTCGTGCGGACCAGACCGATGTGCATATATTTGTCTACAATGCTGTGGGAAAAGAGGTTTTTGGAGAATCGGTAGGTTTGTGAGTAGGTACAGGGGACTACTGGGTGCCATGGGATACAGTGTGTCTTCACTAACATTTATAGAATCCGATATTTGAGGTTTCAGAGATTCACATTGACAAGCGTCTAGCTACACCATTTCTGTCTGTGGCGCTCTGAATCCGCGCGTACTATACTTACTTTTTTTTTTAAATTTCGTTCTCAGTAATTTTCCGAAAAGTATACTTTCTAGGAAAAATGTTTATTTTGGCCGAGTCTTCTTCTAAGCTTAGAAGAATTTTCATTTCTTATGCAGAAAGGATATTTTTCTTCCTTATATTATGTCTTTGGAATTCAAAGAGCCAAAGAGGAAATTGTATAGCTAGACACTTTGACTCATTACAAAACTAGGCGAGTTAAATGAATATTTCGATTTGAAGTATACTAAATACTACAAACCTAGAATTGTTTCAACATCTTCGACATTTCAAGCTTTCAGAAAGTGAGTGTTACTTAGTGACCTTGACCAGGCAAATTTTTTGATTGGTTTACTAAAGCCTCCTTTTGTCGGGCTCTGAACACTATAATTGTGTCTTCTTATGGATCCAATGTTATGAAAATGTTGTTAATTTTTGAGTACTTTCCAGAAGCATGTGGAAAATATGTTTGTAACAGAAATTCCAATGAAAACAATCTTCCTACTCATGTCAAAAATATTCAAGACACAAGATATGAATCTGAAGTATCAAAGTTTGGTTTTTCAAGAGATAACTGGTCCACTTCCCATCTTCAGACTTCTTTGGTAAACCATACAAACTTTCTCAAAAAAAGTCTTTAGTTTCAAATATGTTCGAATAAATTGTTTTTGTTTCTTTATACCTAGTGATTCTTATACAGGGTGTTTCGAAAAAACCTAACCCCCTTGCTGGGGTAGGTAGAACACTGCAAAATAAGTTGGGTTTGCTCAGTGAAAAAATGTCGTAACGGCATTCGTTTTCATGATACAAGGTGTTGAAAATTTATTTTTTTACACATTTTTCACGATTATGTCGAAAGTACTGGCAACATTGTAATGAAATTTTGTATGGATGTTTCTTGAAATCTGACACATCACATGAATTTTTTTTTTATATCTGACTCTCATAGAGGGCGCTAGTTACAGGGTTTGTACCGAGTAGTTTAGAACATAACTTTTTTGAGGTTATATTTTCCAATCCGAATATGATATGAACTTGAACATCATTCAATTTTACACCAAAAAGGTACTCTTTGTGAAACTCGATACTATATGTTCCGTTTTCGGAATATTTCGATTTGAAAATAATGGCTGTTGCTGGTATAAAATGAATTTTTTCTACAAACGTCAAAAAATGACAAGGTTCGCGCATCGATAACAAACTGCGAAGTGACACTTTTTTCAGTTTCCTACGTTACCATGATACCTTGCACATAACAATGCGCGAAGTAAAACAGTGCGCGAAGTACCTACTTCGCGCATTGTAATGTAAAATTAATGAGATATTTATATTTCAACTATATGGTCCTCAATCGAGCAAAAATCCATGAAATAATTCATTTCTGAATGTTCAACAATAACTTTTGTATTATCTCTTGAGCGCACGAAAGGAAATTCTCATTATGTTCGTGGTACATCGTGCGTACCTAGGGAGGATAGGGGGAGGCCTTCAAAGCCACTTCAACACTATTTTTCATATCTAGCTAAGCATATTTTTACTTAAGAACTATATTTTATGACGTTTGTAGAAAAAATTTTGTTTGCAACTCGAGCGCGAAATACTTTGGTCATCTCGACTATTTTTTTAACTCGGCTACGCCTCGTTAAAAAAATCAGATCTCGATCACCAAAGTAGCATTTCGCGCTCTAGATACAAAAATAACTATTATTGAGTTCAATTACCTATTTATTCAGATTCAAAAACAATGAAATTATTCTTGTGGTGAAGTTATTGATGGAACAAAGAATCATTAGTAGAAAATTAAGAGATATTCAACTTGAAAAATGAATTATTGAATCAGTTAGAGTAAGTGTTCAATGTATTATTCTTCTTAACAGTTGAGGATCAGCTGTTAGGTCATTTTAGTGATGTTCAATTATGTCTTACAAAACTGTGTAATCCATGTTCTTAGTCAAATCTGTTTCGATGTTATTCTTGTGATTCATTGTTAAATCAATAAGTTCAGCATCAGAAATGTATTGTTGTTTTCGGTTTTCAATAAATGGGTGATAGTTTTTCATAATACTCACTCTAATTCATAGCTTTATACCAGCAACAGTTATCACTTCATCATTTTCAAATCGAAATATTCCGAAAACATAACACAGTATCGAGTTTTATCAAGAGTACCTTTTTGTTGTGGTTCTGGATGATGTTCAAGTTCACATCAAATTTGGATTGAAAAATCTGACCTCAAAAAAGTTATGTTCAAAACTACTCGGTAAGAACCGTGTAACTAGCGCTCTCTATGAGAGTCAGATATAAAAACAAATTCATGGGATGTGTCAGATTCAAAGAAACATCCATTCAAAATTTCACTACAATGTTGCCAGTAGTTTTGACATAATCTTGAAAAATGTGTAAAAAAATCATTTTTTCAACACCTTGTATCTTGATAACGGATGCCGTTACGAAATTTTTTTACTGAGTGAACCCAACTTATTTTGCAGTGTTCTACCTTCTCTAGTAAGGGGGTCAGGTTTTTTTGGAACACCCTGTATATGACTGAAAAGTATATCTCGGATATTGACACATTGTATATCTGTGGCACTCATTTAGAAATTGTTAACTGCCCTGCTCGCGGCAAGCTGTTCTTCTGAAGCATTTTAAAACGAAAAAATATGTGATAATAATTGTACTGTTCAAAAAGGAGTGTACAGATGTCTGCAAATATTTTTGACTGTCCTATCTGTTGATATTCTTGTAAGTAAATTATTGAAAACAAAAAAATATTGAATGTTTTTGAGATTAGACCTAATTGGGAACATTATCCGAAGTTTATCATGTTGTTAAAAGCTTTTTAGCGATTGTCAAAATTGGTAGATGAAAAATGAATATTTTGTCGAATGGAACAGCAGATCTACAATTTCATTTGGAACCACTGGTTTTTGAATGACTATCATATCAGTAGTGACGAAACATTTTGTTATTTGATTTAATCGTTGACTGAAAAGCGCAATTAAACATGATGTATAAACTAATTGTTTGGGGTTGAAAGAACATCAATGTTTTAATAATATTGTGCAGAACTCGAAAAATTTTGTATCAATAATTTTTCAACTCATTAGATCATAGGTTAATCACTGATGTAAATTTGAACCCTGAAGTTTGAGATCCAATTTGA